CCCCCCCCCCCCCAACATAAAATCCTGGTTACGGGCCTGTTTGTGGTTGCTAAGTCGCAGTTTTGTTAGAGCTATTCTGTGTCGCGCATTGTAGCCTGAGTATCAGGCGTTTCTGGGGAAAAGGGGAAAGATGGAAGCGAAAAAGGGAGAGAGGTGGTCCTTTCTCTTCTCCCCCTCCCCCTCCCCCATCTAAAATCTCCTCTCCCCTAGCCCCTTAGGAAGGCCTGATACTCAGGCTACGCGCATTGGTGACCTGATATTAGACTACGAGTAGTCCCCCATTTTTCTTCAGGAATAGTAAAGCGAGCGAAACGCGAGCGCGCGTGAAAATCACCCCACGCGAGAAAAGGTGACACTATTCCTGAGGAAAAATGGGGGACTACTCGTAGTCTAACCTGATATAGGTAATCTTCACATTTGTAATTGTCTATCGTTTTGAATAACCGGTAGGTTTTCATTTTGTTGCTTTGGTTAGCATCTTTTCTGGTGTCGTTATTTATTTCACTTAGCCATCTTTGTAGTTCGATATGAGGTGGCAATGGCGGCAGCTAGCTGGGAGCAGTTTACCTGACATGGATGTCCGGATGTTGGGAAGTAAAATTGCGAAATGGCGGGAAAATACTAAATATTACTGGCACGTGACGATCATAGATTAGCCAATCACAGTTCGCAGTGGTAGGTACATAATTCGATCAGTTCTGATACACGTGGAAATTCATGCATTTCTTCTCGGTGGAACGGACTGAAAATGGCGTTTAGTCTAGATCTCAAGCGAGTTTTGATAAGCGACAGTGTGGACAGCTGTTGTAAAACTATTTTGGAAACGAATGGAATCGTTGTCGACTTAAAAACAAAGCTAACCAAAGAAGAGCTCCTTGCAGAAATCCCGGTAAGTATTAAATCATAAGGTTCATTAATCTTTGTAGCATCTCATTCCTCTTTTCCTTATACCTTACTACTCTTACTATTGTAGAATTATGATGGTCTGATCGTTCGCTCAGCAACAAAAGTGACTGCAGATGTGATCAAGGCAGGGAATAAACTTAAAATTATAGGTCGAGCTGGAACTGGTGTCGACAACATTGATATCCCTGCAGCTTCACTTCAAGGAGTTATTGTTATGAAGTAAGTTCAGTTGATACTAATTTTTCTAGCTTTTCATGAACTAGTAAAGAGAAGCCTTGGTTTTTACAGCTTTCATATCCGAAATGAGTTATATTCTCGTAACTGAAGTAAAGGATTTACAGTGAAAAAATATTCGGTCATATTCGTTTATTTTTTTGTTACCTACAGCGCATGACCCACCCCGCAGAAAAAAGATTTTTGTTTGCCATGGTTTTTAGCAAATTAATACAGAAGTTTTTTTTACAAATTTACAAAAGTTTTTGTTGCTGTCGGGGGGGGGAGGACTCTTTGTAAAAGTACGAAGAAACTGTAAAAATACTGGAGTGTCAAATTACATTTAAGAAGAGGTGGAGACTGGACACCACACTGATGATCCCAATGTTTTTAAGATGGAATCTACCAGGACATTGAGTAATTTTGATTTTCAGTGGACAAAAATCTTGTACCAGAATAATTTAAGCATATTGCATTCTTTCTTACATTTTTCAAGGGCTAAAGATGTCATAAATCATCTGTAGTGACACCAAAAAAATTTCTTCTGGGAGCCAGAGTAAATGAATGTCAAATCTCACAAAATTATCTCTCACACATGAAATTTTGAGAATTTTACCTGTGTAATCACTATTCTTGTGAAATTTGACATTCAATTTCTCGGACTTCCATGAGAAATTTTCTTTGGTGTTACTACATATGATTTATTACATCTTTAGCCCTCCCAAAATGTAAAAAAAGAATGCAATATTCTGTAAATTATTGTGGTACGAGGTTTTTGTTCACTGAGAATTAAAATTGCTCAATTTCCTGGTTGATTATGTCTTAAATGTTCAGTGTTTTTCTTGGACTAAGTGGTAAAATATCTGTTCACTCATTTTCATACCATTTGATCAGGAAAATAAATGTCATGAAACTTTTTTACTTGTGGTTTGCACTAACAGAGCCCTTTTGAGAAACATGCATTTGGTGTAGGGTGAAACAGTTCTGAAGAAAGCTAAACTACCAACTTTCAAAACCGCACACTTCAGGACTTTGCTATATTAATGTATAAGGTTAAGAATAACTTAGTCCCATATATCAGACCTTTATCATTGTAGCACAAATACATGTAAGTATATCTTTGAAATGCAGATGATTTTTCTTTACCAAGATTTAATACTACCAAGTATGGCAAGCATAGTTTAAGGTACACAGGACGTTTTATTTGGTCTAAACTGCATAAGTCCATCAAAGTTACATCATAGATAATTGAGCTTAAACTGGAAATGGATGGGAGGGATGTTATTTTTAGTAGCTTGTATTCTTAGTTCTCCTAGATAGGTGTCTCAAATTAGTTTCTTGTAAACTAGAACGAAAGACATGATAATAAAGTTGTTGTTGTTATTATTATTATTAATTGTTTTAATTGAATGAAATGTTCTTAATTTGAATAGTTTTTGTTTAATGGAATGAATTTTGTTTTTCTGATCAAAACTAAATGTTTTTTTTTAAACAAAAGCAATTGTAAATAGCGTTTTGTCAAAATAGTTTTTCTTAGAGTGAATTAACCCATTCGCTCCTGGAGATTTTGCCGAAGAACGCGTTTTGAAGCTAGTCGAGTGGTTTTCTGGTCACTGTTGTGCTATAAAGAGCTAAAACTTACCACAAACCGGTTTACAGGTCGTAAATTTCGCAGCCTTCTGATCCAGATTCAAAATATTAGCTTGCAAAGTTCGGGCATGCGCAGGAAGCAAAATTTCGAGATAGTTTTTGGGTTTAAAAGTGACACAGCAGTCTTGACTTTTACTTTTCACTTTCTCTCCTCCCCTCTTTTTTCGCTTTTCTTGCCTCATTTTTTTTTCTCTTGCTGGGCGTTTTGTAGGCTTCGTTTTGGTGGGAAGAGTTTTTAGGAAAGCTTTTAGCATCTTAGGATTAGGTAAAAGGAAAGGTAGGTGAGCAATGGAACAAGATTTTCATGGAGATTTTCAGGTCAATGTCACATGGTTTTTTGCTTCTTTCTCTGGTGTCCTCGACTGAATTGTGCTCATTCTGGTATGGTTTGAAAGATCTCTTCACTCTGCATAAGTTAGTAGACAAAGTTGTCCTTGACCATTAAAACTGATGACATCACAAAGGGTAGAAAGGACGCCTATCCGCACGGGCGGTTACAGGCGGTTCAGGGGCGAATGGGTTAATTGTAAATAGGATTTTAATAGTTAGCATTGTTATCAATAAAATGTGTTCGAATTTTGGATTAATTTTCCCCTTATCTCTATTGCAAAGCTACATTTGTTTACAAATGTGATTAAACCGTTCTTAAAATTATGTAACTTTTATTTTTTCAAATCAAAAACGAGCATGATCTATGTAATAATAACAATAATATTAATCATACATTAGGTAGCTAGAAAAACTGGCTAAGCTGACTCACCATGAGTCTCTTCGTACAGTAACTCAGTGCTTATAGAGCCGAGTTAATGGCCAGTAAGCTTAATTACAATTTTATAACGAGGTTATATCTGCTCCCTTATGAAGAATGATCAGGAGTGCATTTTACATGTTTTTTGTACTGCATGATAATAACAGTAACAATGCTCTGAACTATTGATATCTAGGATGATGTAAATATAGCAAAGAAAAATTATTGTATTTGATCTTGCAACTCAGTTTGAGTTGACATGATTTCCGAAGTCAAGGCTGTGCTCCAAGAAAAATTGAAGAGGGCGTTATGCTCTGTCGAAATGGAGAGCAATTCCTGTAATTTCACTCCTCCAAAAATGGTGGAAGACAGAGCAGCCTCATTTCATTGCATTTAAATGTTTTTTGAATCTTGTTGTGTGAGAAACAGTAGGGTTAGGACAATGTAGCTTTAGGTTATGTTCACACTCTACAAGGTAGCTTTTGTTGCCAATACCAGAAGGTATCCGGTATAGCATGAAGAGCAATGGACCAGGGCTGCACAAGTTATATTCACTCTCATCGAACACCATGCTGGCATGTTTAGTGCACTAAATTCCATATCTCACTCTTGAATATTTACTTCCGTCTCAGTGGGATCCAGTCCATGCTCGTAGTTATTTACTTCTATAACGGTCTGAACAGGTTTTCAAACACACTGCTCAAACTGCACCAAAGTGTGGTACAAAACCTATATGATATGTGATGCTCTAATTTTGAGATCTGCATGGCGCAGCTTCACTGTACTGTCACAGAAATCACTGCACTCAATTGCTGTTCTTGTGTGAACAGAAGTCCAGTTCAGCATGATTTTCGTGGCAGTGCAAAGTTATTTAGTATAGCTACTGTTAACATACACCGTAGCCTTCCCTGTAATTTCTGGGAATTTTTTTTAGGCTTTTTTGATAATATATACCATGATAATACTTGCAGGTCCCTACTGAAACTGCATAGTTGATGGATTCCCAGAATTAAAACATTGTTATTATTGTTCTTCCTCTTCTTCCTCTTATTATTATTAATACTGATTTGATTCATCTATCCCTTTGTAGCACTCCTGGAGGTAACACACTGAGTGCGGCAGAACACACCTGTGTACTTATCAGTACTCTTGCAAGGTAAAGTGTACTTAGTTGGTGGGTTTTGGGTGTCGTACATTGTGGTCCCAGTAACCCCCTGTATTTGATATTTAGAATAGCATCACTAGTAACTGATGCAAATCTGCAGTTATTGCAAGGCATGAATCAATCAGTTAATCAATCACGTTATTTACAGTGTATGTGTCAAACTTCTGGTACACCACAAGTTGTGTAGCAATTCTGGACATTAATTGAATTTGCATGGTCTTTGTAAAGTTTTCCCCTGAAAGTTAACGAGACCTTTCTTTTACTCAGATTCATGGTAAAAGGATTCATTTTGCAAATAACATGTTTGGTTTATTGCTTTCTTCAAAATGTTGATTTTTTTTTTTGGTGGGGGGGAGATCTCAGCTGGAAGGGGATAATGAAATTAAATCTAGGATGAGTTGGGGTCCAAGCGTTTTACCTGATACTGATAGTTTTATATATCATACCATGTGAAAAATGCCAATTATTATTATTATTATACATTGTAGTCACCATCTGTCTTCTCATTGGCTAAAAGCCTACAGTTAATCCTGGGAAACAGCGCAACCTACAGATTATTCACTAATCTGTACCTACAGATTAGTGAATAATCTGTAGGTTGCGCGCGCAATACATGATTTCCAAGAGCAATGTCAAGTGCTCGGACAGCAATGTCCTGGGATAATGCGTTTGTCGTTATTTTCTTCAAAACAATGTATAATAAAACAATTATTAGATTCGGTTTTTGTGATATTCGGAATAATCAAGGTCTCAGTTAGTGTTATCAGCCGAAGCCGAAGGCTGAGGCTGATAACACGTACCTCGACCTTGATTATTCCGGATATCACAAAAACCTCATCCAATAATTGATTAATATCATTATTTTATGACAAGTACCCAAAAGCTGCTGACAAGCTCTGCTAATCAGTCTGCATTCATTTCCTGTAGGCATATACCCCAGGCAGCAGCCTCCATGAAGGAGGGAAAATGGGACAGAAAAAAGGTATGTCACTTTGAAAACTCTACATTTTGCTGTTGATTTGTGTCTCTATTACTATTACTGTACAGTTGTTACAATGTACGTGTGGTATTAAATAGCTTTTATCATAGAGTCAATTAGGCTTAGTGATGAAACAACTAACAGTGTTGCTAAAAGTCAGTCAATAGACCAAGCAGCTATTACTCTAGCATGATGTTGCAACTGTAACAGTTAACAATCCAAAAAATACTTTAGCTAAGAAGTTGTTCAAAAATTATATGAATATTGTGTAGCTTAGTCTCCAAATGCAATCTCTTGACTGAAGTTATTTTAGCCTGTGTGGCAAGTGTTGGAAGGGGAAGGGACAATTTGGGTGCGCGAGAGCTCACGGCCTGCAAAGAGACCATTGTTTTCTCCATTTTTCATGCTCAGATTCTGAGTGTAAAAATAGTGATTGGTCTTCGACTTAATACCTTTTTTCGATTGGTTGAAAACGACATCATGCCATTTGAGTAACTAAACATATGATGTTAGTGACGTGTGATGAGATTTCTCTACGGGAATTCATTGTTAGAAGGCATCAATTTCAGCTTGAAAGGAGAATAGAAAAAAGCAGTTAAAGAACCATATGAAGGAAAAGGCCTGTTAGCAGATTTTTACAGAGTTTTACTTACGGGTTTTGAAAAGTATCATCTCCCAACGGCTTGTCGGTTTTGTGCAGTAGAAGAAAGAAAGGAAAAATCATGCTGCCTGTGTGCTTGAAGAAAAACGTTGCGAGAAATACGACCAAAATACGTGCCTTGCGGCCAGACTTATTTGACAGCTAGTCATTCACAGTTGCGTTTTGTTTGTTATTTTTTTTAAGTAGTACGCTGGATGGCAAAAACAATGGCATGCTTGCAGGCGTTCCCCTCCTCCCTCCTCCCTCCTCCCTTGCGCGCGGTCTCATGCCCTCAATTCCCTTCCCCTTCCCTTTCGAATGCCTGCCATGCAGGCTAAAGTTATTTGTAATAGTATAATACTTTATTAATATAATTATAATTTACCTCTTTTAACTTATTTCGAAGTACATGGGAAGTGAACTATTTGGCAAAACTCTTGCAATTGTTGGACTGGGAAGAATTGGGAGAGAAGTTGCTCATCGCATGCAGTCCTATGGCATGACAGTGAGTATTAAAGCTCTTTTCTAAATCTAAGAGCTCTTGTGTTGGTCCATGATTACAATATTTATTACTAGGCTGTTAATGTGGAACATAGCGAACAACAAACACCAGAAATGTTGTGAAGATAACAGCATGCAAAGAAAGTAGTGTCCCATAGCCCGGGGCTAGTTGATTTTGCTATCAGGTTAGTGAATTCTGTTCTTAACTTGCCCGATGGGCAAGTGACGTTTGTTGAGGAATTCAAATTACAGAAGAACTGTGAAATCAATCTGCTCATCAAAACGTTGTGGGGGATAGTTGAAATGATGTTTGGGCTAGTAAATGTTAGCTTCAGCTTGCCCGAATGGCAAGCTGTGAAAAATGACTTTCTTTGCACCCTGAGATAAGTCGAACCTGAACTCCATGTATGATAAACTGTATCTTTATTCCATAAACATTCCGGGGTTCAAAAGACAAATTGATCCAAATCTGAGTCAAGTCCAAACAAATTCACAATGAAGTAAACCCCAATAAGTTCAAATATTCTATGCACGGTGAGTTATGTTTTCTAAAACCAAATAAATCCACAATGAATTCAGTGTTCAAAAGTTAGAAGTCAATGTATGAAATACAAGAGGAAAACTTACTGACTGTTTTGAGTTCCATAAGCAAATGCTTCCAGAATGACAAAACTTACAAAGTATCAGGTTTCAAAGCATGTGGTTACATTGTAGGTACGGAATACGTGCACAGCGGTAGCACAAGAAATATTTCTAGAATGCTCTGTGTATTGTGTTCCAGGAAAAAGGAATCAGGTGTGGGAATACTAAACTGTACTTAGATTTTTTGTTTTGTAGTCTGCTAAGCCTTATTGTGATTGGCCATTACCTAGGCTTAGCTGCATAATTCTGGAATTTTTGGGGGAGTTTTGGACATCAAAAAGAATTTTAGAAAATCTCGGGAATTTTTGGGAAAAATTGACAAATTCGTGAATTTTAGAGCAATTTAAACTTTTACCTGACATGTTGGCAAATTTCACAGGCAAAAACGTTGACAAAACGTTTTTTGTTTGTATTGTAACCAACCAAGAGCGGGGTCAGTCCGTTCATATCCTGGTTTCTGTTTAGCATCGGAGATCGGAGAATTCTGTGTCTACTACACATAATTCTCCTGGTAAATTTCAATGAAGTGTTGCTATTTTTTATTCAGACGAATCAAACATGGATACGTTTTGTTCCCGTAAAAGGAAATTATTCCCAGAAATGTGTAATTTTAGTGCTTAACCTTTTGCTTAACATTCCCAAATAAATGACAATAATACATAAAAGATCTTGCTTAAATGCTAGCAGTTTTAAGCCCAACAAAACTAACAGGGGACGTGTAAAATATTTGACAGTTTGCTGAAGAGTGGAGAGTTGACTGTATGTCTGATGCTTTTTTATTTGCATGCAAAAAATTATTAAACGAATAAATACTAATGAAACAAAACGTGAAACAAAATAAAGTACACGATAAACAAATCATAGTAGCAAAGTAATGACAAGAAAAGTTTAAGCAATAAGAATCAAGTAGCTTTATGAATGAAAAGAATGATTTCTTTGTGAACTGCTATGGAAAATAAATTTGGCGATGTTTATACCTTATATAAATGACAGTATTAAATTACTGTGAAACAAATTAATGCAAATTTAATTTTTGAGATTTTTCTATTTTAACGATGACTTCTATTTATGGCACATTATAAATTGTAACTGCAGAGGAAACAAAGAAGAAATATTTATTGACATTCAACAAATCGTCTATTAAACTGGACATGCAAAGTTTTGTGCTGAGAGCAAATTTGTTTAAATGTGTTCTGTCTAGCGCAAACACTTGTGTCACTGACAGAGCCGGGAAAAGTTTCCAACTATTGATAACATCCTAAAGTTAAAGCATATTGAGAATAATTATTCTATTTTCACTCTTGGGTATGTTTGGTATTTAATAAGATAGAGCCACATGTCACAACTCTAGGAGTCTGTAACAGGGTTAGAAGACGATCATAATTTAACAATTAATATGCCTGTTATTTCGAAGAAAAAGTGTTTTGAAACCATGTAGAGGTATGCATTTTTTTGTTCAGCAGCTACGAGAAAAAACATTTGCTATCAGACAATAAGAAGAGCAATCTCAGCAGGGTTTAAAATGCAAAATTTCCAGGTTCATTTTCAAGCTCTTTCCGGGAAAGGGCTTTGCTCTTTCAAAATATCCTCCTGTTACTTTACACTATTCTCCTGCTGCTTCAATTCTTAATGAAACCCCTAACTGAGCACCAGAGTCATCTACACTACCACTTATCAGCGGTTATTTGCTGAAAAGGTTGTACAACTCTTTGATTCTTGTTATGTCGCTGTAAAAACCCCGATCTTTTTAAGAGTTTCGGGAATTTTGGAGAATTTTAGACATTTCTAAAAGAATTTTAGAGCTTTTTTCGGGAAAATCCGGAAAGAATTTTAGGCAGTTTTTCGGGAATTATGTCGCTAAGCCTACCATTACCCAACCAACATTCTTGAAATATTTCAGTTCATGGTTTTCTGAGTTTTCCTGTAACTGGTAGAGTTCAACTATCTGTGAAAGGTTTATGTATGCTAGAATCAAATCTCAATACTAATCTGAATACAGTGATGTGCAAGTCCTGCTGCTCTAACAGTAGTTGTTGTGGTTTTTGTTCTTGTAGACTATTGGGTACGATCCTCTTGTTCCAGCTGATGAGGCAGCTAAGTTTAATATTGAGTGGATGGAACTAGACCAGCTGTGGCCAAAAGCAGACTACATCACAGTACACACTCCTCTCATTCCACAGACAAGAGGTGACGTGTATTGCACTTTTAATTTTAGGTGATTTTATGTTGACAGCAAGATAATATTTTTTGGCCTTTTAAACGCCTTCAACTCAAGCATGATTTAAAGCGCAAGTTATACAGTGTAATAGCAACATACATCACTACTAGGACAGCAGAGTACGTAGTGCCTTATCTATTATATATATATTATATATTATTGTAGGTATTGGTATGTATGTTCATAGATTACTGCTTCTGTGTTTGTTGCTCCTTTTAAAGTCAGCTGTCTCCTATGTGTAAATCCACATCCTTTAATGTATCAAACGCCACTGAATGGTAGCCAACACTTACCAGTAGCCATACAAGCGACTTATTGATGAGATCAAGCAAAACTAACTACGAGAGAACAACTGGAGAACTGACAATTTGACTAACAATAGACGACTGTTTAACTGTGACAATAGACGGATCGAAACACACCAATCACTGATAACAAGTCTTCATAGCCAATAACATCGCAGCTTAACTGACAGACGACCAATAACATCGCGACATAATTGACCAATCAGATCAATAACCAGAGTATAATACCATCAACTGACGTGATACAACTCACTTTGATTGTGAAGATTACTACCACACAGGTTGTCGAAACGTCAGTCACTGTCAACAACAACAGTGCTATTCAGGACTACGTTCACCCAGACGATCAAACTCAACCTTTTGTATCTTTTTTCCTGTCTCTTTTGAGTTGATTGCCTGTAGAAGTGCCTGGCATTTAGCATTTACAGTCAACCCAGGAAAACCACCAACACCAGAAATATTTCTGAAATGTTATTGTATTCCCAAAAAAAGCCAATCAGGTGTAAGAAAACTAAACCACAAGCAAGGTCATTAATTACCATGTTTGTGGTTGTGGCCAGTTTACGTGTCTTGATCTCTGCTGGGATTGGTCATACATGCAAGACAATAAACATTCCTGAGATATTTCAAGTGTTCATGGTTTTCCCGGTTGCCCTGTAATAAGTGGCTTAATTAAGGTTCCTTAGATAGTATAACATCATAAAAATTGGTCTGTGCTTATCACAATAGGTTCTTGTACATGTGGCTATCCTTTGCAGGAATTGAAATGTTAAACTGATTTGTGTAACTTGCATGCTGATTTTTGTTTCTTCTGTTCTCGAGGTTATCACTAACATGTCCTTTTTTCTTCAAAATAAATCCAGGACTTCTCGGTGATAAGACATTCCCTCTCTGTAAGAAAGGTGTGTATGTAGTCAACTGTGCACGTGGCGGTATCATTGATGAAGCATCCCTTTTAAGATCATTGGAGTCGGGGCAGTGTGGTGGGGCAGCTCTCGATGTCTATGAAACGGAACCCCCTACTGGTAAGTATTTATATTGCTATTAATAGTAGGGCATTATAGGGGGAGTGTTGCCATGTCAATACTTAGGTAGACACTTCAGTGGGTGGTAAGTGAACAATTAAGGAGCATGCCTACTGACAGGGTGTGATGAAAAATTATAAATTATGCAGCATTTTCAGGTCAGATTGATGCAACAAAATATGCAAATTGTGTGAATTTTGGATGCTAATTAAAGGTCGTTTTATCAGGTTTTAAAGGAGGTCACTTTTTAAATGTTCTGTAACAGACAATTTGAGTGTATTTAGAACAAAATAGTTAAATTATATTCTGATATCTTGACTGAATAAGAGGATAATAGAAATAAGGAAAAAGGACACTTTGTAACAAATAACTTTGTGTATTTCCTGAAGGGAGGGTAAGGTTCCACTATCACCTAATTTCAAACCAGGGAGGGCTGAGTATAAGTCCATGCATTTTAGGATAAACAACATTTTCATATAGGTCCCATACATACCAAACTTGAGGATTTAAAATAAAATGAAACCACTTTTTAATTCTCTGCCAGTGCCAAAACTAATACAGGTAAATTATGCACAGCAAGTAGTAAGTTGATGTAATACCAAACCCCCTTAAAGTGCCCATCACCTAACATTTTATATTTTCTTATCTGAAACTACACCTTATTAAAATTTCTTCAGCTAAAAAATTTTGCGATTTGAACATGCAAAAGAAGATTTTTTTAGAATTTTTTAAAAACGTTCAAATTTGCCGCCATTTTGGCACACCATTCATCTTAGTCTTCTCTGGGAGTATGACGTCATATGACGTACTTTAAGGAACACGTGACGTTATCGACAGGAAAACATTAAGAGTTTTGGTAGGTTTTTCTGTGTCAGAAAAACTTTCTTCTTGCGAAGACGTTGTGATTCAATCCTTACTTGTAATTGATCTTTTTTGTGTACAGCTGGTGAAGGCAAGGTAACGCGAGTTCCTTAATTTACGTCACATGACGTCATGTGAGCCTGCTAGTTTGCGTGATCTAGACTTCAAAAATTGGTAAAAAAGTCGCGTTTTGTTCAAACCGCAAAATTTTTTCGCAGAAGTTATTTTAATGAGGTATAGTTTCAGATAAGAAAATAAAAAAATTTAGGTGATGGGCACTTTAAGCAAAAGAAATGATAAGACAGTAAATAAGTTGTTAACACAATTAAGTACATACACTGGGGGGAGGTAAACTGTGACAGTTTATTGATCAGGTTTATTTATTTTATATCTGCCACAGGAGTATCAGGGCAGTTAGTCCAGCATCCTAATGTCATAGCTTGTCCCCATCTTGGTGCCAGCACTGTTGAGGCGCAAACCAGGGTAGCAAAGGAAATAGCTGAACAGTTTGTTGATGCTGCACAGGGGAAGTCACTATTTGGTGTGGTGAGTTATTTCATTTAACTGGTAGTAATATTACAGATTACAATGGAACCTCGATATAATGAAGGGCCAAGGGACTGACAAAATTTGTTTGCTATGATGACTTTTCCTTACATCCAGGTCCTTTTCCACATATTTTACTATTACTGGGGTAAAGAAAACAGTTTGTTATACAGAGGACTTTTGTTATATAGAGGTTCGTTATATCGAGGTTCCACTGTAAGAGTGCATCGGACTGGAAGGAGTGCTGTTGTGAAGCACAAAATAGAGGGAAAAGCCGCGACTGGCATGAAGTGGTACTGTGGAAGGTTGAACCCAAGAGTCATTTCTTTAGTAGGTTGAGTATGATCGTCCAGTTGAACGTGCTGAACGTGCTGTAGTCCTGAATAGGACTGTTGTTGACAGTGACTGACGTTTCGACAACCTGTGCGGTAGTCATCTTCAGAGTCAAAGTGAGTTGTATCACGTCAGTTGATGGTATTAAACTCTCGATATTGATCTGATTGGTCCATTAAGTCGCAATAATATTGGTCGTCTGTCAGTTAAGCCGTGATGTTATTGGCTATGAAGCAATGTGATTGTTGATGTCACCATTTCTCGTTGCGCGTTTGTGTTCAGTCAGTCACGTGCTAATTTTCTGCCGGTTTCACCAATGTAAGTAGCCTGGCAGTTGCAGTATTTGATTTTGTATACTTTTTCCTGTCTGACCTGTCTATCTTCTGGTTTGTCTTTGTCCTTGACATCAGTAAGTTGTTGCCGTCAAGTGGTTATTGGTTTATGTGCATACATACATACATACATACATACATACATACATACATACATACATACATAAACTTTATGTATCCTCGGATTTTAGTGTAGCTTACATAGCTAGTATCTCCGATCCTAACTAATTTTAAAAGTTACAACATATATAATATAATATTAATTAATGTATTATTAACTAAAACCGTGCCACAAGTACATTGAAAGGTTGTAGTATACGTGTGATAGTTTCAGAGGTGCCTCTGATGTATGGTATAGTCACTGTCTTAAGAGGGCCAGAGTCGATGTTGGTCTGAGTGTTGGAATCAGTGTTACTGTGAGTGTTCTGTCTAACAAATTAAAGTCTGTGTTGTAGTTGGTGCGGTAAAAAACAGAGAAAACTTTCATAAGAGACACAACAAGGAATGCTTACTTCAGATGCAGTTATTACATAATTATTGGTACATAATATAGTCAAATTTCTGTTAATTTATGTTTTAAAACCTTGCCTCTTGTTGGTTTACTGTGGATGAGTTTGTCAACACTATTCTAGACTGGACCTGCACCTTAACATTGTGTGCAAATGTTTTTTCTCAGTAAAGCTTTTTTAAAAAAGTTTGTCAAAAGCTAGTGAACAATCTTTGTCCAGGTTTGGCTCTGAGCACCTTGTGGATATTTCTTCATGTTAACTGCAAGTTCCTGGTCGTTGTCAATTTCCAGTTTGCTGATGACTGCCATGTTCAAATATCAATGTTTTCTTGGTAAGACCTCAGAAGGTGGGAAGACTGAATATTTACCAGATGTGCACGGTGCAAAGGAAGTCAGTTTTAGCATTTACTTGCCCAAGAGTCATTTAAACTAGCCCCCCCTCCCCCCCCCCCTTAAAAGTGACAAGCACAATTAGTAATATTAATTGATTTTTGTTGCTTAATTAGTTGCTCCAGTAGTTGTTCAGTTATTTAAATCTTTTTTATTCACTTTGTCAGATCAGTTTTAGAAGCAGCTTTTAATCCACATGAACTACTGTAATTAATTTTAATTTGTCTTACATTACTTCTGTAATTTGAATTCCCCTGAAAGACTTCCTTGTCCATCATGCAAGGTAAGAACAGAATTCACCATCCAGCAGGGTTATCTAATAATGCTTTCTCTGTACCCTCACAAGTCACCTGGTCAGCAGGGGTAGGAAGTAGAGAACCTAATCCCAGACATGATTTAATTGTTTGATTATAGGTAAATGCTGCATTCTTAACTGAAGCCCTGAAACCTGAAGCGCAGCCTTGGCTAAGCCTCGGTGACAAACTTGGAAGGATTGCTGCATGTCTTGTGAATGATCAGCCACTCACCAAAGTCACTGTGACAACACATGGTGCTGAAATGAAGTCCGCATTACGATATGTTACTGCTGCTGTGTCAGCAGGAATTCTTGGTGGAAAAAATACCAATTTGGTTAATAGTGCTGTCATTGCAAAAGATAAAGGCTGTGATGTAAGTTAACAAGTTAATAAATGTTGTAATTCCATTTTTCTCTTATCACAAGGTATCATCTAGCCATGGTGTCTGTAATTCCATTTTTCTCCTATCACAAGGTATCATCTAGCCATGAGGACACTTTTGGACTCCCTTATAATGGCGCAGTATCATTGACCGTAAACAGTGACACCACATTAACAGGAACAGTGGTGGGGATTGGTGTTCCTGTGCTGATCAAGTTCAACAGCCATGTTTTCAGTGGTGGGGTACCCCTCTCTGGAAACCTTTTGTTTGCTAAAGGAAATCCTGGTAAAGTCCTGACTGATCTCGGTTCCAAGAGTAATGGTGCAGTTAACTGTGTTCATGTGGCAGCAGGAGGAGCAGAAAGTGTTGTTATTGTTAGTACTTCTTCTCAATTGTCAGCAGATTATCCTTGTATAGCATTGTGAAAGATGGTTTTTACGTCATTAGTTGCAAGTCTAATGATAAAAAAAATGTTTCCAACAACTGGAAAGAATTTCGGCCTTGCCTGCATACTTATAAAGGTAGATAGCATTGACGTATTTGCAAACAACAAAGACACTCACTTTATCTGTGTATCAAATGCAGTGCTGTAGTACCTTAAACTTTACTGTTACTGTGTGCTTTGCATTGCAACAAACCCTGATGAGGTACATGTATTTGTGTGAACGTTAATTTTGCGTTCGATGAATAATAATTTACTGTAATAATGTAGCATCTGTTTTGTGACAATAGGGTTAGGGATAGTATTTATTATTGTTAAATATTCTATATCTGCCGGTGATATCAATTTACGAGTTAAAGTCACTTATGTGAGTACTTGCTATGTTATACTGGATACGTTATGTAGTGCTATAAATCTTTGTTTCTCAAATTGTTGGTTTGTCTGAAATCTTTTCGCTTGTCTTCTACCTACCCCTTCCTTTGGCAGTTCTTCCTTGATTCAGACTGTGGCTTTACTTATCGAAGAAGCCTTGCCTGCCGCCTTACAAATGACGAAATTCGTGAAGCCGGTGATGAAGGTTGACAATTTGCAATCGTACGCAGAAGAACAGTTATTGCAAAAAGAATTAAACCGTAACGATTTAAAATACCTTAAACCTGAAGTGTAATACGTTTTTGCGTACATATAACCTGCGAAAACATCCATAGTGTTCTGAAATATTTCAACCAAGCAACATTTTCTGGTTTTATTTATGAGCTTAACTCAAATTTACTTTGACAACAACAATTTTAAGTACTCGAAAGGGTTAACACAAAAAAAACACCTTTTAAAAATGGAGTCTAAATACATTTTATTTCGCAAACTGTCTTTTTGTTGGTTTATGCATTCTACAATTACAATACAATATACAATACCCTTTATTTAACGTGGTCAATGTTCTTAGCTAATTAGCTACTTTACAGACACACCGACAATTACAATAAGAACGCTCTTGAAAGCGTTAAGTTTCACCTGTATAATGTTGCCACTGCGTGCCTATTGTCCCGGCACGGGGAACTAAGTTATGGGAGGAAACCGCGACCGCTAGGACAATAGGCATGCCGAATAATGAGGGTAAGCGACGTCAACCGCCACCAGGGGAGATGGCAGGGCCAAAACTTGTAATTGATTTCCACTGAACTTCGTTGAACTGGCCAAGAGGCGGGCAAAAAGCAAGCAATTCTAACCAAGGGCCGCAATGCATCATGCCACCAGAGCGGCATGATGCATTGAGCGGTTACGAGGGGATGCACCACTAAGGAATGGTGTAACCGACTGGTGATGTAAACAAATTGTAAAAGCGAATACGAAGCAGAAGGCTTTTGACCAGGCAATAACAATGTGAACTGCCGAGGAATACATATCAAATCAAGCGAACAACAGATTTTGAAAGCCGCAGGTCATCTCGGGGGGTGGGGAGGGGTGTGCGCACTTCCTGCACCCTCCCTCTAGATCCGCCCCTGGTTTCTTCCCTTATACATGACGTGAACTCGGCAAACTCGGATAACTCGGTTTGTTTTTTTCGAGTTAGAAACTAATACTAAAAAAATGCAGCAATTATAAACCTGAAGTGAAAACTTCCAATGATGTCTAAGTAATTATATTGTCTTTTCAAGGAATCTTCCACAATCTAAAGGCAATATGAGGCAGAGATGCTACAGACCTTGTGAATCTATGACACCAAGGAAACATCAACGAAGAAGTCAGTATGAAAAATTAAAACATTTCTCAAACTACTACAAAAATAAACGCATTACGTGACCAATAGCCAAAGGTTAAGTCATTGATATCTCAAGTATTTATAAAGTGCAACCAATTAAAAAGCAAATACCCTGAAGACTACTCGACCGTCGATAAAACAGTGCATGAAAAACTCTTAGCAAGGAAATCCTGTTTCGTGTAGGTAGCCACGTTGTTGCACGATCAACAAGGCGCGTCATTTCAATCGTCCACTCATTTGCATACAACGAAAGTTCACATAGCCTCACCATCGATATCATCGAAATTTTGTTCATTTAAGATTCTTCTTTTTTTCGTCCACTGAGGTATTCACTTGCTCTAAAGTAATTAACGCTTTAAAGCAATAGAATCCGTGGACCGACCCGTTCGGGAAAAGTTCTGCATCTTTCGCATTGATCTTCCCTAAGCTTTTTTCTATTCACGACTTTCGTCACGCCGAGATACTTATCCCCAGTTTCCACGGTCTGCACTAGGAACGCCTGGGACTATGATGACGATTTGGCACGGACACAAGAAAAAAAACGGTTGTATCGTTAGTCTCTCTCTTCTAAAGCAAGCTCGACTAATTGAAACTTATGTGACGCAATTTTCCATGGAGCATGATTAGATGAGCTTTACAGTATGTTAAAAAAAATAAGAATGGATAAAAATTTACAAGCAGGTAAACGGTAAAAAAGCAATAAAGATGATAAAAATATAAATAAATAATAAAATAAACAAAATGAATACTCTACGAAAAATTAAAAGCTTGTTGAAAAGATATGTTTTATCATAGCATTTAAAAATTGAAAGAGATTCAAGGCTAGATATTTTACTGGGGAGATTGTTCCACAGCTTCAAGGCCGCAAAACAGAATGCTCTACGACCAAGATTTTGGGAGCATCTTGCCGCTTTGAACCTTTAGCATAATTTTTAGGGAGAAAGAAATAAGTCTGATTATTCACTAGGTTTTTTGCTGATCTTTTGAGATCG